TGCTTGTTGGTTAGCTCCATAAAATAAACCATACCGGTGTACCACTTTACAGGTAAGAAAACTGTGTCTCAAAGAAGCAAAGGGACTGTACATGTAGTGGCTGCTGCTTTTTCCTGTAGGCTGTGGGGTTAGTAGCCCCTTTAACTGTGAAGAGGCCCACGAGTGTCTGGGGCAGGGGTAGAGTCTGTGCCCAGGTTGGAGCCTAGAGTACCAGGCCCTCACTGGGCTCATTTCTCTTCTAGTTTGTTCTGTTGGACAGGGACTCCCACTGCTGCCCTGTAGACCTGCTAGCCAGTTTTTTTCCTGGCTTGATTTTTTTCAGTCCCTCAATAGGGTGGTCCACGGGTGGCAGCCACCTGGCTGGCCCGTGCCACTAAAAGACAGCTTTGGTGGCCAAGTGGCTTTCATTGTCGTTGCCCCTCAAAGGAGCTGCGTAGGGCCGGGCAGGTCGAAAGGACCTCTTGTGAAGGGAAGCCGGGTTAAAGGGGGAGGGGCCGGGAGGATAAAGGCCCAGCACGTGCGTGCAGCCTCCGCAGGACCAACAGACTAAGCGGGCGGGGCCAAGCCTAGAGTCAGGGCCCCTGAGCTTCAAGCGGGGAGCCCAAATATTGGGAACAAAAGCAGGAAAAAAGAGTGAGAGCAGGAGGGAGGAGGGCACAAAGGAGGGAGTGAGGAAACAGAAATTAGGGGGTCTTAGATGGGGAAAAAAAAGAAAGTAGCTTTAGGGGGAATGTGCTGTGGAGTGTGAAATTGCAGCCCATGGTGCTCCATATTGTACCAGAAGCTCTTCCAAAAAAAAAAAAAAAAACCATCCTCCAACGTGACCAGAGGGCTAGGCAGGGGGAGGAGCTGGGAGAGAGTGGGAGAAGGAGGGGAAAGGGCCAGGCTGGAGCCGGTCAGGCAGAGGGCTGATCTGGAGGGGGGCTGGGGTGCATGAGCTGGCTGCAGGGGATCTGACTGCAGAGGGTAGGTGCCCAGGGATGCGCCGGAACCCTGAGGGCATGTTGATCATGGACATCTCCCCAGAGTTCGATTGTCAGAAGAACTTTTATTTTCTTTTACTCTTTTTTTAGGTTATAGTGGCAGTGACTTCCCAGACTGGGGATAATTCAGAAATGGAACTCAACTGTGGAGCTACAGCTCTGCTCTACCCTCCTGTCTTCCCTCCTTCGTTTCTGCTTCCTTTCCCTTTGGACTAGTTTTTCCCCCCTTGATTCTAAACAGCTTTTTCCCCCCTGAACTTTAATGCATTTAATTTGGTCCGCGCTGTGGGGAGCATTTCCTGGGGAGATACATTTAATTTCGGAATTTCTAATCCCTTCCCTCAGAGCCAGGGCCTTAGCTCCCTTTTGCTGCTCCCCGGGAGGTGGAAGGAGAAAGGCAGGCCCAGACCATGGGGGAGGGGCAGGGCTTGGCTGGGATGCTCCCTGAGCAGCCAGTGGCCCCTGCCAGGCCCCTGTGGCCCAGCCATCTTCCAAAACTGCAGAGGCCAGGTGCCTGGGCCTGGGGTCCCAGCCCTTCAGGCAGAGAGGAGGCAGCCACGCCTCTTCCTTTTCTTGCTTTGGAAGTAAGTTCTGAGCTAGGGAATGGAGAACCTGAAAAAGGAGCAAAAGAGTCGAGAAAGAAGTGGGTGCCAGCGGAGTGAGAGAACAGAGTCTACATGGGCACTTCATTTTTGCACAGTATACCCAGAAAAGCATTTGGGAGCTTGGGGATGCAAATTGCTCTGGGCTTGGGGTGCCCACATATAGGTACACTTGAGGTGAAAGGTGCTTACTTGCCTCCCAGACACCTAAACCCAGACAGAGCCAAAAAGCCTGGTTGGGAGGAGGCTAGGGTGAGGGCTACGAGGAGCTCCAGGAGCCTAGTAGGGAAGGAAGCCGAGAAGGTGAAGGAGCTGTGATCCACAAGGAAGATTTATTGGGCAGATCAGATGCACAGAGGCGGCTAATGAAGCAAATCCCGAGATGGGTATCAGAGCAACTCCCCAAAAGTTTATTTGCCTTTAAATTTCCGCAGGGAGGCGGGTGCCTTGTTTGAAGTGTAAATGCCCCTAGGTTGGGGGGTGGAAAGGCTGCTTTGAAAACAGCAGAGAGAAAAGGTTCATTTAAAGGCAGACGGGAAAAGCAACCAACCCTGACAGGTCAGAGCCTGGGTTGTGTTTGGGGTTGGGTTGTTTTCTTTCTTTCTCTTTTTCCCTTTCCTCTTTCTTTTTCCCGTTTTTTCCTTTCTTGCTTTGTTTCCCCTCTACTAGACTCCACAGAAAAAGAACAAGAAAGGCAGAGTCAGAGGGAGAGGTCAATGATTGGATGAAGGCCAGCCTTTCATCCCGGAGCCCCAGGAGATGGCAGAGCCCTGGCTAAGAGGGGTTCCTAATCACCAGAGAGCATCGCTCTTGGACTTTGTATACCGGGGAATGGTTGGATCTAGGGAGGAAGTTGAGTGTCCAGGCTAGTACAGTGCTGGCAGAGGATCCCAGGGGCAGGAGGATGCCTGTCAGGGGCTACTTGGGAATTGGACAACTACAGAAGGGTCTTCACTCCTCAGAGGGTGCATGTGAAATATAGGTTGTGTGAGTACAACTTTCAGCACACTTTGTGCATTAAGTCCCCTTCTCTACAAAATGTGAAAACTCCTCTTGCCCAATCTGTGAAAATGCTTTCTGTGTTCTGTGAGTAACATAAAGATATTTCTAGCTGATTCTAGAAAAATCTGAGCCTATATGTAGCAAGGGAGAGTTCTACCCACAGTCTTGTTCCTTCAAAAGTTCATACTTCCTAAGACAGCTTCCTGGATGAGACCAACATAGGGAGGACCTGGGGCAAGGGTTGCTTTAGTTCTGAGCACCTCTATAAGGACCTTTCCTCAATGCTCCCATTCCCCCACAATTCTGACCTGATTACTTCCCCAAAGGACATCCAAGGCTGTACCAGCTAATTCCACCTGAGATCCTTTGCTCTCTGGTCTGAGTGCTGTTCCCTTTAGGCTGCACGAACTGTTTTCCTTTTTCGCTTCCCACACGAAGTTAGTGCGTGTTCGTGGGGTTGTGAGGCCAAAGCAAACCCGGGAGCGCCATCTGCAGGCCTCTAGAGGAAGAGACTGACCTTCCAGGTTGGACCCAGCGCCTTTAACCTCTCCCCCAAGGGAACCTGCTCCGCGGTCCAAGGGAAGTGGGGTGAGGGCTTGGGGTGGGGTGTTAAGAGAGGAATGGGTTTTTCCTCCCAAACTTTACCCTGCAGGTGTATTAAGCTGATCTAACTTGGGAAGATCCAGGAGGGAGGGCGAATGCCAGGATCGCAGTGAACTCAGCCCAAGGAATGGGCGGCTCAAACCCTGTCCTGCAGAGCCTTGTCCGAGCCTTGCCCGCGGGTTACGGGCGCCCGGAAAACGCGGGTACGAGAGGCTTAGTAGTAGGCAGAGTCGAGCTGAATCAGGAGGGTGCGTTAATCTATTTGCCGCTCAGGCTCCGGCCATAAGTCCTCGGCGTTTCCCCGGAGCACCTGGGGCTGCGGACAGAGGCCGGAAGAACCTCAGATCCAGGAGGCAGGAGCCCAGCGCAGCACTGTCTTAGCCGAGCCTCCCTTTTGCAGACCTAGGGAAGCAAGGGGAGGGAGCGAAGGAGGGAGAGTTAAAACATCAGCTGAAGTGCCAAGATGATTTATGAGACGAGGGAAAATATTTCATAAAGATCTCCCGGATATTCTGTACTTAACCAGTTAGGAGACAAAGGGTTTCTCCTGACTGGTGCAGGAGAGCAGACCCAGCGAGCAAGGGAAGGGAGCGCTAGCGAGGGCTGTGGAGGCTGGGCCATCGGCTCCAGGAGTGGCACCGCCCGGCGCACTGCGCCTCTTGCTCTCGCTCCGGATCCGCGGAGCTAGCAGCGGGCTACACTCAGCCGCGTTCGCAGCCTCCTCTTCTCCCCAGCCGGGGAGAGCAAGCCTTGGTCTCCCGCATCCTCTGGCGCCAGCGAACTGACGCTGCGTTCAGTCTTCCCTCCCCAGTCCCCAACCCCGGCCACCAGAGGGTCCAGGAACCTAGTCCCCGGGCTCTCCTATCGTTCGTTGGGTCCGACCGAGGCAGGTGGGTGCTTGCCGGAGGTCTCCAGCTCGACTGTAAACCAAGCGCCCTGGACGGCCCAGACCGGGTGGGAAGGAGACAAGGGAGGCTCTGCGAGTAGCCGCGCGTGGGACCAGAGAGGCAAAGCGCTGGGCACTTTTACCCCGAATGAGAATTGGGGGTGCTTGGGCGGGGAGGTACCTCAGGAGGGAAAGGCGAAAGGGAAGAACTAGAGAGCAGAAAAGCGAGGAAGGAAGGGAAGGAAACTCAGCTGAGGGTAGTGGGATTAGGGCTATGAATGCGAACTGGGCTTGGGGCCACACGGCCCAGGAGGACACTGGCCGGTGGATGGCAGGGCTGGGCGAGTTGGAACTGAGAGCCTGGCTTCTGAGCGTGGCGCGCTCCGCGGCCCTCTATCATTGCCTGAATATTCATTAGACTGGCCTCTCTTTATCCTTATCTAACGTTTATCTTATCGGCGAGTTTCGTTTCTCCAGTGTAGTTTTAATCCCGGGCTCCCATTCCTCCTCCTCCTGGCCTGCTCTCCTCCCTTCTCTCCCTCCCTCTTCCTTCGCCCGCTGTTCCCTCACTCCCTCCCATTTCCCCCTCCCTTACCCTCCCCTTGCCTGCACCGGAGTGACAGGCGCGGGGCCCTCCTCGCCAAAGCTCCGGGCTCCGGCGCTAGCGAATCACAGAGTGGTGGAATCTATTGCCTTTGTCTGACAAGTCATCCATCTCCCGGCGCGGGGAGGAGGAGGGGGTCTGGAGGGGGCTTTGCAGCTTTTAGAGAGACACACACCGGGAGCGGAGGCTCCAGTCTCCGGCCGAGTCTTCTCGCAGCCGCAACCCACCTGGGGCCAGCTCGGAGCTGCCGGCGCCTTTCGGCTCCCTCCCACCCTCCCGGCCCTTCGGCCGCGGCGGCGTGCGCCGGCCTTTTCCGGGGGCGGGGGCCCGGCCGGCGCGCTCCCCTCCCGCTGGCGCCAGCTCCGACATCCCGGGGATTGCTACTTCTCTGCCAACTTCGCCAACTCGCTGGCACTTGGAGTGGCCCCGCTCCCCTCCCAGCGCCCTTCGGCTGCCCCCGCCCCGCGCCCTCTCCGACGATCGCCTCTCCGATGACCGGGTTCCAGCGGAGCTGAGAGAGCCGCCTACTCTGCCGGGCTTCAGCTTTGGCCGCGGCTGCGGCGCTAGCGATGCGTCCCCAGTGCTCCCCGGCCTGGCCCACAGCCCCGTGGCCGCTCTGCTGACCACCCAGTCCCACGCCCCGACGGTGGGAAGTTGCGGCCGCTGCAGTGGCAAGCCCGAGCCAGCTCCGAGGAGCCGCCGGGAGCTCAGCGCGGCGCTCCCTGACCTCGCGCGCCCTGCAGCAGCCGGGCGCCCACTCACTCTCCCTCCCCCACCGTCCCTCCCTTTTCTCCTCAAGTCCTGAAGTTGAGTTTGCGAGGTGACACGGCGGCGGCGGCCGCGCTGCTCCCGCTCCTCTGCCTCCCCATGGATATGCACTGCAAAGCAGACCCCTTCTCCGCGATGCACCGTGAGTACCGGCGCCCGGCTCCTGTCCCGGTTCGGGGCTCTCAGTCCTAACCCTGTGCAGTTCCAGGTTGGCCCCGGCCCCTGCGCTCAGGTCTCCTCTTGGAGGCCACGCGTGTTTCTCCTGGTCCCTCCTTTCATTCTTCCTCTTTCCCTTGCCTGATGTTTCTAACATCTCCAGCTTCTCTCCCTTCTGCCTTCTTTCACCCATACTTATTCCTCTGCCTGCTTTCCTATACCTTCCCTAGTGCCCATCACCTGCCTTTGCTCCTTCTACCTGCTCCTTCTTAGGTCATGGGATCCACTGCCTGGGGGCCCCCATTCCGCCACTCACTACACTAGTCAGCCTCTTGCCCTGGGCTGGGGGATTGATTCACAGTTTTCAGGGTGTTGTGTTGTGTTTTCTCTATTTTTTCTGTTTGCCTCCCCCTTCTTCCTCCTCTCATCTCTACCTTTTTCAAACTTAAGAGTTGTGGGTGTCCAGGAGACTCCAAGCTTGGGTGGCCTGGTGTCAGGACATTCAGGCAGAGAGTGTGGGGGTGGGGTGCCCCCCTCTGACCCTCAGCTCTTTGCATCTCCTGGCCTTTCCTGCTCAGCCACGACTCTTCTTGTGAGCTGGGTTAGGATATTTCCTTCCTCTTCCTTTCTTTCCCATCTCCCTCTCTTCTCCTCTCCTTTCCTTTCCTTTCTCCTTGAGTTAGGCATTTGAGGTTGTCAGGACAGTGGTCATCTTTCCTAGCCTCTGCCTGGGAGATGCTCTAAAAACAAAGAGGGGTTCCAGAAGAAATTGAAGCAGGGAGAGAGCAGTAGCACAGGCTTCAAAGTGGGTCCCTGGGCTGAGTACAGCTTTGCTCTCAGTTGTAGAGTCTTCTGGTCTGCCTCCCACTCCCCATGTAGCCAGCAACCTGGCCAGGGGTCAGCAAAGAGGGAAAAAAATGATAAAAGGGAAAGAACAAAAGGAAGGCAAATGCCAAAGCTGGAAAGAAGGGAAAAGAGAAATCAAAATGCGAGACTGGAAATTTTAAAAAATGAAATGATGTTACAGAAAAAAAGAGAAGGGGAGAAAAGAAATAGAAAAATAGGGGGAAAGATTATTTTCATGAAAGTGGAATTTATCTAATTTATGTCATGTCGTTAGCTTAGAAAACTATCCTGAGATTTTTTTTTTGCAGGCTTTTTTCTAAGATAAAATTCTAAATAAAAAACTCCTCCCTATTTGTAGATTAATAATTAAGGATAATTCGTAACTTTTCGCAAGGAAACTTTTTAGACCTGGCTTGGATCTATCCTTAGGACGAGAAAGCCAAGGGAGAGCTGTGTTTTTCTGTAAGCATATATTTAGCGTTTCAGGGGCAGCTTTAAAAAACATACCCTAGGGTAAAGTATATTTCCCTAAATAATTTTCAAGTACAGGAAATCCGAGCCGAGGGCATCAGGCTGCCGCGGGTCTCCCGCAAGTGGAGCGGAAAAGCCTCGCTCCTTTTCGGAGGAAGTGGAACCGGGTCCACACGCCGCGGTCTTCGCCCAGCCCTCCAGCCTCGCGGCGGCCACAGCTCTCACTCTCCTCTCTTGCCTATTCCGCCGGGGATCCGCCGACTCCTGGCAGCCCACCGGGAGCCACTTTGAAGTCCAAAGGGGAGCAAAGCCCAACAGAAGGTGGCCGGAGGAGGGGAGACAGCCGCCGCAGCGCGGGCAGGCGGGCCCTGGCGGCTGAGCAGCCGCAGCCCGAGTCTGTGCGGGAGGCAGTGGCGCATTCCAGACCAGACTCCGCGCCGGCTCGAGGCCGACCCTTAGCCCTGGACTCCCTCGGTGCCCCCTTGCCATCCCCACACCTTAGATTGGGGTCGAGGGGCCGGGCCCCGAGCCCCGGGAGGCTGAATTATTCATCTTTAATCTGCCCGCAGCTGCCGCCTTTTCATACCGGTAACGCGAGTTCTCTCGGGGCCTAAATTATTGATGGTCGGGGGTTTGCAGGGGGGGAGGGATGAGTAGTGGGGCTAGAGATAGAGAGATTAAAGGGTGGGGGGATAAAATAAAAGATTCTTGTTTCTCTGGAAGCCCAATCAGAGGACTTTTCCCAGGGGGTTCGCCCAAGCTTGTTCTAAGTACCCCCAGAAGGGGACCGGAGAAGGCGGGCGCGCCTATGTCCCCGCTTTCTCCGAAACTTGCTTGAGGCTAACAGTGCAGAGGCTGCAGGTCGCTGGCCCAGTACAGCGCGACTCCGACACCAGAAGTCTCTGCGCTTGGATTGCACAGTAACTGCAGGAGTTGGTTGATCGCTCTGGGTGCAGGATTTCTAGACTGCTTGTAGGCCAGGGAGAATGGGGTACCGAGCAGCGCCTTCAGGCCTGGCACCGGAGGCTGTTTGGTTTCTAGAATGCGAGCCCGTGCAGGATCCGGGTAGGAAACACAGTGCCTTTCTCTTGTCCAGGCGAGCAAATCTCGCTGCTCGGTTCCCTGCCGCTGCCTCAGTCTGCGGGATCACAGGGATGTGGGCTGTCTTGGGCCGGCTTTACAGGGTGTCCCGTGTGTCCTCAACTCTCTGGGGTGACCGGTGCCATGCAGCCTGGGTGAGATGGTGGGACTCAGTCCTGGCGCGGCAGGCGAACGAGCCCAAGCGCCCAGCGTTCTCGGCTACTACCGGGAGCTCCAAGCGCAGCAGAGGTGGACCCTTGCCTCTTCCACCTTCCCACCTCCACTTTAGACACTAGGGAGGTGAGAGGAAAATATGATTGTACCCAAGATAAAAATCATAAAGGAAAGGAAAACTCCCGATTAAAACAAAACAAAACAAAAACACGAGGATAGAAAAATTCTGATTAAAAATAAGTATAAGGAAAGAGAGCAAAAAGGTGTGTGTGTCAGGGATTTAGTACTTCTCTGTGCTCTGGGTCCTGATGAAGAGTCAACTGGACCGAAAGCTACTCTATCACCAAAATCATCCTAAAGGCCTCCCTGGCACTGTCAGCTGCCCCCTTTGCCCACTGTGCAGGCGGGATACAGCTGGGTACCAGCTCTATCCTCTGCCAGGCCCTTCTCCTCACTTTCCTACATTCTCCCCCACTGGCATTAATTCTTCTTTGCTGTTTTTTCCCCTCTTTTCTCTCTCTTAGCTTCTCCATCCCTTCCCTTACTTTCTACCTAGCGTCCTCACACTGGTCAGAGTCCTATTCTTGCCCAGCCCTCAGCTCAGCAACTGTGCTTCTGCGTCTCTATGGCCCCCTTGGGTTCCAATTCCCAACCCTTTGCGTTGTGGTGGGAGTCTGCCACCTGTCTCCTTGAGTTCGGAAACTTGCCCTTCCTCTCTGCCTGCTCCCTTCGCACATCCCGGGTCATGGACCCTGACTAATGGCCGGTCCCTGCTGTGTGTGGGGTGTTGTTTTTTTTCTTGTCTCTCCCCAGCAGGGCACGGGGGTGTGAACCAGCTCGGGGGGGTGTTTGTGAACGGCCGGCCCCTACCCGACGTGGTGAGGCAGCGCATCGTGGAGCTGGCCCACCAGGGTGTGCGGCCCTGTGACATCTCCCGGCAGCTGCGGGTCAGCCACGGCTGTGTCAGCAAAATCCTGGGCAGGTGAGGGCCTTGGAGCTGTCCTGGGAGATGCCCTGCCTCCTTCCCCGGCCAGCCCTGGGTCTCTGCCTGAGGACTTGGCTAGATGTGGAGGACCCCAAGCGGGAGAGGGAGATCCCCAAAGGGATCTGGAGAGCTGCTCTTTTTGGAGTCGGTGCTCAGGTGGTGGCTTGGCCCCAGGAGCAAGAGTGGAGCGGACCAGCCAGTGCCTGCCCTGTTCCAGTGCCCCCTTGGGAAGGCAGCCTGTTCCCCTGCTTTCCCAGAGAAGAGGCATGTCTTTTCTAGCAAGTTAATGCCATTGAGGGTGAGGGGCTGGGAGGTGGAGAAAGAGTGGGGAGTGGAAAGGGGTCCCCAAAAGGAGAAAAAGCAGTGCTTAGGAGGTGGAAGAAGGGTCCTGGGTCCCACAGGTTCTCTGCACTCATTAGGAAAGGGTTTGAGATGGTGCCTCAGCCCTGGTCAGCCTGGAGACCTCACAGCTGCTGTTCCTTCTGCTCTTTCCAAACGAAATGTCAGGCTTTCGCTCCCGGGGTGCCTATGCTGACTGGTGTGCACCCAGTCCCTGATGTGGCCGTCTCCCTGGAGGGAGCATCCCCATTATTATACACATCCTCCACAAGACACTGGTCCTTTTCCCTTTGCGCCACTACTTGGGCGGGAGAGTGGCTCAGCAGCTCCAGAGCCTGCAGCCCCCCTGTCCCTGCCACCACCCGCTTCTTGCTGACCCTGCCGGCCTTCCTGGGGCAGGTACTACGAGACTGGCAGCATCAAGCCTGGTGTGATCGGTGGCTCCAAGCCCAAAGTGGCAACACCCAAAGTGGTAGACAAGATTGCTGAATACAAGCGACAGAACCCCACTATGTTTGCATGGGAGATCCGAGACCGGCTCCTAGCAGAGGGCATCTGCGACAATGACACCGTACCCAGCGTCTCTTCCATCAACAGGTGAGTAAGCCACCCGGGACAGCAGGGTGGGACTCAAACTCCTGGCTTCCACCTACAGGGGTGTCCCCCTGCACTTGGTCTCTGCTCTTTGTCCAGCTTTGCCCTTTCTCCCTACTCCTAGCTTGAAGTCTTTGGGGCAGGGAGAGGGGACTTGGGAGGCAGAAAGATAGACAGGGCTGCCTCCAGTCCAGGGCTATGTATTCCCTGCCAGGCTTCTCCCGCCGATGTCCTGGAAATGAATCCAAGTGTTTGTGGTAATTAAGACTCCAAGATTATGTGCCTCGGGATCTAGAGACAATCACAGCCTGCAGCCCAAGCCTTTAAAATGACCAGTGTCTATTCATTGCCTCCAAACAGACTTCCCTTTCTAAAGGCATGCTTCCTTCCCCAGGGAAAGCTGCTGGTCCTGGTTCCCCCCACCCTCCCTGCCAACTCCCACAAAGCTTGCTTCCCAGGAGCCCAGGTCTTGCTAGCCAGCTCTCCACAAATTTCCGGTCTGCAAACACTAGTGTCTAGGCCTGCAGAGCAAATACCAACCATTAGCCAGCAATTGGCAGGGAGTAAAGGAGCTGGGCAAGGATTGGGGTGCCAGGCAGTGAAGGAGAACTCCAGACCTTAAGACTAAACCTTGGGAGATGCTCCCAACCACCTAGGGTGCCAGGCTAAAGTCTTTGCACTGAAGACAAGCTCAGGCATGTGGGGACACAGGCCAGAGTCAGTTCAACATATAGGATAGTTAGGTCTCCTAGTCTCTGAGCCACTTTACTGTGCTCTCTGGTAGAACACACATGCACATCCCATGTGCGTGCAGCCTAGCAAGTATGCCAATGTGCCCATCTGTGGGAGCTACAGAACATACAGCAGCAGTTGGGCCCAGGAACCCAGGCTAGAGAAAGAGATTGCAGAACTGTACAACTTGATGATTGTACACAGAGACCCCCACATAAGTCATATATCAGGCAGAAGCAAGTCCCAGACAGCTTTGGCCCCCATTTTAAGATGCCTCCAAATGAAACGAGGGCTAAGGGTTTCATACCCTTGTTATTATTTCTACTCTTCACAGGCTCTTTATCAGGACAACTAATAATTCAGATGGCATCTTATTCTGAAACTGGCACCAAGTATCAAGGGTTTTTTTTTTAATATTTTGCAAACGATGTGGAATTATCCCAAATCATCCTAAAAACAGCAGGTAAAATTAGCTGGTAGAATGTACCTTGGCTAAAGAAGATTCCCTCTGCCACACTCGTGCTGTAACGTACTGCGAAGCGACCCCAGAAATTATCCCAGTGTGTGCCATCTGTATTAAAATGGTTATTCAGTTATGAACAGGGTAACATAATACTGATCAGCTAATTATACACCCTCCGAAAACCCTCCAGCTCCCTGGGCCTAGCTCAGCCAAGTATTGAAAGCATAGTGATTTGACATTCAGATACCTTCTAAAGGAGCTGGAGAAAGATGCAGGGTGGTTGGGGAGAGGAATAAGTCCTTTGCTTTTAAAAGCCCAGGGAAGACCTGGAGTGTCAGTAAGGGAGGGGAAGAAGACAAAGCACTGTTTTCTAAGCCATCTAGAGACTCAACCTCTGAGCTGACTGCTTGTCCTGGGAGTTGGAACTGGGGTCTTTGGTGGAGAAAAGCAGGGGTGGCCCTGCTGAGGAGCAGAGTTGCTGGGATTGGGTAGTCTTGTTCTGGAGAATGTTTAAGAGAAATGCTTGTTGTCAGTGCGAACACGTAATTGGAGGAACCCAAGACATACGTGGGTATAGGGTCGGTAATTTGTTTCTCCTGAATGGGGTAAAGGAGAGGATTGACAAGACAGGTGTGATGACAGCCCTGTCTCCCTCCCCCTCAACAAATACCCCTCACTGGCTGAGATGATTTTGGAAGTTGGCTTAAGCACCCATTTGAGAATGCTTTTATCCTGAGAAACCCTGGAGCACAGGGGACAGACAACCCCAGGATCAAGCTCCAGAGGTTTTAGGTACACCCACCAGAACTAGGACAAAGTAGACAAGGTAGCTTCAAGTGAGATGAGAGTCGGGAGGAACCACCTCAGCTTAACGGCTCTGGCAGCCGAAGAATCTTACCCAGCACAGAGCCCGGTCACCTGAGGGACATGGAGGCTTCCTTTGGATGTGGAGAAATAGGTATCTGTAGCAGGGTTCACTGGAAATGGAACGATAGTGGAAGGAGAGGGACAGGGAAGCCACTGGCTTCACGGGCAGACAGCCCTGGGCTTGCAGTTGTGTTTCACAGCTTGCTTTGTCAAAGAGGAGCAGTCAGGCTAGTCTCCCCCAGTTAGATTTGGGCCAGCATCCTCCCATGGTTCAAATTTTGGAAAGACTTCTGGGAGCTGGAAGAATGTATCCGGGCACCACATCGTTAGCTTCATCCCTGTAGGTGCTTTGCCCTGAAGAGGGAAAGTTTATCTGAGATGTGTTGTTTTCACCCTAAAGCCTGATAAAGACAGGAAATTTCAGCCGGTGCTGTTTATGTCAGGAATTTTGCCTTTTCTCTGTTTTGAGAAATTTCACTCACTATTGGAAGAGCCGGGAGATTATCCAGAAAGAGTGGTACATCAGGGAATGGGTGGTTCTTGAGTTTAGAGCTTTATTGTTGGTGAGGTGCCCACTTGTGTTGGGTACTTTATAACAGTTATAAGTAAGGATGTGGATGAGCCGGTGGTTGGCAAGGAAGGAAGTCCACACATGCTCACCCACCTGAGCCAAAGGTTTTTCATCTTCTCTTCCCCAAAACAGATGCTGTCGCCGCACTTCAAATATGCTATTACGGTTATGAACTAAATTGCTTTTCATGCTTTAAAAATGGTTTTGGCCTTCTCTGATCCTGTCGCGATAAACGCTTGGCTGTCCAGCCTGCATTCTCTATTAGCAAATACCCCTAGAAGTACCTCTCTGAGACAAATGACTGGGTCAGAAAAGCCTCCCCACTCCCAGAGACCAGTGTCAAAACTCTCAAAGGGATAGCTGGGTATTATGCTGGGTGCCTCTAGTCCCAGCTACTTGGGAGGCTGAGGCAAGACAATCGCTTGAGCCCAAGAGTTTGAGGTCGCGGTGAGCTATGACGCCACAGCACTATACCTGGGCCACAGAGTGAGACTCTGTCTCAAAATATATATATATATCCCAAAGGGTTGACTGGGTTGCTTAGTACCTGGAATTTATCTGAGTCTTTCTAAATATTGGGTAACTGATCACAGAATATGGAGTTGCCAGCTCTTCAGCTTGTACACTGCCGCTGTAGAGAGTGGGAGTTTATAAACAGGTGACTTTAGATGGAAACTTGGTGTGGGAAATGGCCTGAAGGGGGAAGAGGTGGAGGGAGATCCTTGCTACTGAAAGGGGAAAAAGTCAGCTAGTTACACCACTGAGCAATTGACTAAGCAGGAAGGATTTTCCCGATATGCCAAAGTTCTTCGGTTTGGCTATTGCTCTGGGCAGGGAATACAGCTCCATTGAAAGGAGAGGCACCAACCCCAGATAGAGTCTAGGGTAACTGAAGATCCCCTGAGAGTGTTGTCTTGGAATGAGCTGACAATAAGGGCATCACTTTCTACTTTTTCAGTCTGCCTGACACTCTTTGGGGTCACGGCACTCCCATCCCTAGATCTTTGGAGTGGCTTCTGCCAGAGTCAGTCAACTGCTCACTGATCACCCACTATGCATACTCTCCCTTAGCTTATTCACCTCTAAGTGAGCACATTTGTTCTCCTAGCAGTGACAACACTAGCTTCAAGTTTACAGCTCCAGCACTGTGTTAAAAAATTCCATTTTGTGCTATTTGAGTGTTCTTGTTATTCTGGGGTCTTTGTCAGAGGTCAGGCAGTGGGGTGACAGTGGCCTACCAGTTTTTCATTCAAAGACCTTTCCAAAAAAATCTGGGAGCTGCTCATCCTAACCAAGGGAGTGTTGAATACATGTTCAAAGCTAAGGTCTGTTTCTTCCTCTCTAAATCTCAGGTTCCAGAACATTGCATATTTGACCCTTGGACCTGACTTGACATGAAGCCAGGCCAGAGGGGTGGCACAGTCAGCCACGTTACCATATCCTTACAGCTGTTTGATGCTCAGGGCTGTTGATCTTGTGGCAAAGAGCCAAGGAAAGTTGTAGACTTAAGAAAAAGACTTTTGCCCACAGAGGAATGAGAGAAATAAGAACAGAGAATTTGCCTTCTGTGGTCCTGAGCCTAGCAGTCACACTCACAAATAACAGCATGACAGCGGAAAAGTCAGTTTCTGTCTGAGAAGCCTTGCTCACTTGCTCTTTCCCAGAGAGTCCCCTGCTATAGAAGTTGCCCAACACTAGAATAAACATGGGAAATAGGCATGACAGTGAATATTCTTATTCCTTAAAATGAGCTGGGGTTGCCTTTCTGAAAAGCTCGATTTTGTTCCCTCCGTTGTTCCCTCCGCTACTTTAGACGGGTCTTCTGGGCCAGCAGTCCCATTGGTCTGACTGTCTCCTTGTTGGCTGGTTCTGCAGGTGTTCAGGCCACAAATGGCTTTCAGGTGAGAGCAGTGGCTGGTTGCCCTGAGTTCTTACCTCAGTTGGCAACTCTGGAGAGGAGGCAGACAGGAGGGGCTGGTCCTAACAACAGCTCCAGGTGGTTTTGGAGGGTGATGCACTGAAGAAAAGAGAGGGAGAAATCCTAAATAAATAAATAAATTGTGTCCCAACTATTCTGAGAACTCAATAAAACAATCACATCAAATATGAAGAGGCATAAATCTTGTGTCTGCACAGGTAACCTACTCAATTGCTTTTATTATTGTTCAGGCTGCCTCCATTTATTACCGTCCACAGTCTGGGCAAAGGAGACTGCATGGAGGGTGGTCTCCGGTGCAATCCTACACCCAGAGAGGCAACAATCAGCCCATACAGCCAGGGATTTCGATGGGAGCCCAGGAAGGGCCCATCTGTCTGCATGAAAACCAATCAATAACTCTGTAACCAGAGCCCTTGTCACAGGGAAATGGA